AATAAACGGCCCAGAGCACTTAACCCATGAGACCCGTGGGTAAGTCACTTTCTGGTACTCTGTCAGTTCTCATATGCCATTTTATCTCCTATGTGATTGAGATGGTTGGTGAGCTGCGAGTAAAACACTTGTTTCATTGTGACAATCACATTCATTCCAATTTTGTTTCACTGTATGTAGTAATCATCTTTTTAGCATGTTCAGGAACTGATCATTGTACACGTACATGTATATTCAGTGTGACAGCAAATGCTTTCACACATTGATTGTTGGACATTTTACCTGTTGACCGATATTTTGTTCGTTTTGGCACGGGCTAACAAAATATGAATAATGAGTCCCAAGCTGGACCGAGAGAGGGTGCAATTATCAGGTCACATATTATATATGGTCACATTGCTATCAACAAAATGAACACTCCCTACCAACCTGGCTCTGTTCGACTGATGCTCCAGGCGGATAGTTGGAGTTGAAATTTTGCTGCCATTTGATGCTGGTCTTGCAAAATTTGAATAATGCAAACCTGAGTAAATTCATACTCCAGCTCTTCGTTGTATCTCAGTACATGTGTTTTCCCAGTATTTCCACTAGAATTCATTTGCCCCAGAGGTTTTCATCCTGGGATTTCCCATTGACTCTGTAAGATGCTTAAACGTGCTTGAGGCTACAGGTACAATGTACATGCTGAAGGTATCAGGTGGTGGTTACCCACCAGGAGTGTCATTTTTCACACGTTACCATGTGTGTGTACATGTACATGTAGTTCTGAGTCTGTAATGAAGCTTTTTCACACTACAGCCTGTCAACCCAGGTTGAACTCAACCCTAGGCAAGCCCATGGCCGCCCTGGGTTGAAAATTGAATTTTTCAACCTTGCATTCAACTCAGCATTGTTTTCACACTTTAAAAGGATTGGAGTCAATCTCAGGGATGTTGTTGATGTTCAAGTGTGAATCGCCGCCAGTTTTCAACCCTGCTTCAACCCTGAGTCAACCCCGAGATTTGTCTAGTGTGAAAAGGAAAATAGTTGGGCAGTTTTCCAGCTTCTGGTTCGTATATGTTAGGTGGAGTCAGGTTGGTATAGTAGTGCTTTCCTCGCCTTCCACCTCTGCGGTCCAGGTTCAAATCCTGGCTCGGTCCACTTGTGGATTGGGTTTTTAGTCCCTACCTGATTCCATGGATTTACCCAGAATATTACTCCAGGGTTTTCCTCTTACCTCTAAAGCTGTGACTGCTTCTCATTGTCTTCTCATGACGGGTTTCTTCTGGCTTCCAAGCTACAGTGCCTAGGGTGCTGTTGAGGAATCCTTGGTATCATAACCAGAAATGATTAATAATGTACTTGTATATTGGTAGTCCACGTTAATCTGATGATGGACTGCATGGTTCAGGGAAACCCTCTCTCATATCAGCATCATGCTTTCCAGTTTCTCAGGATGGAGTGCTCTAGTGGTGAAAGTGCACATTGTTACTGCTGATGCTTTGGCAACTCCTAGTTAGTCACTGGCAGTAGCTCCTAATTTTCATTATGTTAAGTTCACGGTCATGGGCATTTGCAGGATATTTTCCCAGGGAGGGACCACTTTTTTCCCTGGGGGAAATTTCCAAGGGGTGTGTAAAGCACCCATCCGATAAACAAGTAACAGCATCTGAGGTTGTTCTTTTTGTCACTTTTAACATGTTTGCTTCCCTCCTTTTTTATTTTGATTCCTTTTTTGGGGGGGTGCCCCCTTCCCCCCTTCACTCCACCTCTGTGACACCCATGCACGCAGTGTTCTGTTGTTCAGGAAACTTTTTTTGTCTGATTTGCATCATCAATTTATGGAAGTTTTGCTTTAAGTTTTGAGCATGTCTTTATCCTGTACACTTGATTGATATGTTATAAGATGTATATCTCTGCAAATGTCATTCCAAATCATTCCAATGAACCTGTTGTATATTTTCCTGAAATGGTTATTTTTAACGCCACAAATCACATCATATGCTTCAAACTAATAATAATGATTTGAATTTCATTACACTGCTGCTTCATTCAGCTCTCATTAGAAGTATCAGGGGGTAGTTTTTACCTGGTGAGTTTGTCCTTCTAAAATGTAATGAGGACTTAATACTTTCAGGCTTTGTCCCTGCCCAGTGGCTGGATAATTTTATGTGTGTCATGGTAAATGACAACCTGTATAGAGCCAACGGTCTATATACATGTAGTTAGTTGTGCTTCATGGGTCATTGGCCTTCCTCGAGCATCCCTGGGAAGGTAATGGAAGTGTTGCCATGGTTGTCTGTTTATATAACTCTTCCATTTTTCATTCATCCTGAAGACCTCATTAGAAATGTGTGCGTGGTCGGTACTCATTTCTGTCAAACGTTTCAATCAAATGAAAGTGAGTTTGAGAAATGAACAGCTTTTAATCTTTTGATATAGTTATTCGATGCAGCTGTCAAGCAGGGTTTGCTGTCAGTGGATGTTGAAATAAATGATTTGTTTGGTTTGTATGTTGGTTTTGCTTTGGTCCGTTTATAACTTTAGTTTAGGTTTGAATTTTTGTCTTGCAGCATTGAGCAATTTGTCAGGAGTTAGGCTTGTATCTTTTATCTTGCGTGTCTGGCTCCTTTGCCTTGATTCTCCATAGGACTGGATAACTTACTGGCTGATCTCAGACACTTCAAGCACAGGTTTTTGGGATACATGTAACATTAGCTTTAATTTTTAGTGAGTGTGGAATAACTTTAGGCTAGAACTGTTCGTTCTCAGTCGGGCAGAATCCACTGCATTGATTATAACTGGACCTAATACCCTGGCTAATCTTTACCCTTCCTCCAAGGTTGCTAACTGTGTGAAAGCAACCAGAAAAACAGGAAAGAAATCAATGGACAGAATTAGACACTAGTGAATTTCCCTAGCAGCAGCGTGCGGTAAAAGCAATCAATAATTGGTGCACAGTAATTGTGGTGCAGTCATCGTAGGTGATGTGAACAGCACTTGTGTTTTTATTGACCATTCTGGAAGAGTTGTGAGTGCTGCACCACAGGCTGATGATGCTTATGGCTGGCTACTCTTTGACCAGGAGAAACAGCGTACATGTAAGTCGAATTTCTGGCAGCCAAGGCCAGAATCCTGGGTTGGATGTTGATTTTGGTAGTGCCTATAGAGGAGCAGGGATGTTTAAGATAATATCGCTGTGTTGCTGCTGAACAGCCCTAATTTTTACACATGTATGCACATTTATCTGAAAGGATATGGTAGCATTACAGGGTTTTAATGTCTCTGTCAGAGGAAATGTTCTTATGACCAGAATTACACCTACAGCAGTGGAAACATGCATAATTGAAGTGTAATATTTACGCTGTGCAGATTTTTGACTGTTGGTGACAGTTGCCATAGGGATGATTAGAACCCAGTAACATTCAGCATTTAACATATATTTACAAATAGGTCATTTGGGAGACATTTTGTGGTAAA